ACAGCCTTCCAGGGTTACGACTCCGTTGGAAACATTCACAACCTGATTATTTGTTGTATGATAGACGGTCGATGGATTCGCACCACTGATATTCCTCAGTGGTAGGTTGGCATTTAGAGATTTGAGTAGTTTTATCACCGGGAATCGTGCTAAATGTACTATCAAGCAAGACAGCAAGAATATATTTCGTATATTTAAAATGAGAAGCGGTCTGATCAGCTTCTCACCGGTGACTAAGTGAGTGGTACACATCCTGTGAGGTCCCGGGTTTGGTCCTTAGTTGGGTCGATGGATTCACGCAGTGCTGATGAGACTCACTCAACCAGGTCGAAACAGCTGTCCATTGCTTCCCAGCTTTTCGGCACACGCCTCATTTATTTACACGGCGAATCCGTCGTATGAACAAATCCAATCTCCTATTACTGTTTTAAACGCAGGGCATCGTAAATCTTCTGTGACTCTTTCATTGATCAGATCGTATTTATTTTACCCTAGTGGTCATCTGGCCAATATTGACTGCTACTCCTACCCCCGCCACACACAAGCACACTTCACATTGACTTAGTCTACTCTGAAATCGATTTACTTCAACCAATCAGACTTGAGTATTGACATGTTCCTCGGAGCTAACTGCACCGTTGCGTGCTCCATTCCCCGACTTCATCGCATCCCAATGCTGCAATTGGCAATTTTTGCAATTCGTCAACCCAATTGTTGGCTTACCATGATGCGTGCTATGTCTGTTGCACGGCTTATTCGCATTGTAAGGGGTTTCGGGAGTTACACGCTGTATTATTCCGATAAGTGCTTAGCAAAATCACATCTGTCAAAAGTTATTCCGATGTGCCAAAACATTATTTTCGTGATAGAAATAGGTGCATCTCATGAAAGGGTTATCAAAACAGATTCCTATTCAGTCACAGCACGTGCCCAGTTTCCATGACGTGTACGAATGTCTCCTGGTTCCATTCATTCCATTCCCAACACGTTATAACACTTTTCGAGGCGGAACTGATTTGCAATTTTACACACACACACACACACACACACACAACACAAACACCACATTTCTCAATGTGCGTCCGCAAGAGCGCTTGCGGCGTAGCTTACAGTTGAACGTCAATCGATACACACCTATCATATGGCAGTAGTCACAAGGTGTACCACGCACAAACGGATGTCAGCCTATCTCATTGTGCTGTTCTTAAGTTGAACCAATCCGGTTGGATCGTGTTTACCTCAGACGCATGACTACACCTTACTCACCGAGTATTGGTAATATAAAATCAAAGGTGAACCAGTTATTCTGGCCTAATTGATGATTGTGTGCAATGGTATCGTTAGGAATTGACTTAGGAACGACGTTCAGTGGAGCTGCATCAATTGTCAATGGCAATGTGGTTCATATATCACACGAAACGGGTCGTGAATTTTTGGAGAGTATGGTGAAATTTATCGGGGACACGTACGTCGTTGGTGCATTGGACGGAAACTTGGAGGATTTCAATGAGCCTTGTGTGGTGTTCGACAGTAAACGAATGATTGGTCGGAAATTCTCCGACTCTCAAGTACAACGCATGATCTCCGATTGGCCTTTCACAGTGACCTCAGTGGATGACGAGATTCAAATCACCGTCTCCGACGGTACTGGAACCCGCAATTACACACCTGTGCAAATTTCCGCTCTAATATTGAAACGATTGAAGGAGATGGCAGAGAGGCAATTAGGAGAGCCCGTAGTCAGCACTGTGGTCACAATTCCCGCACGATTCGGTAATGCCCAACGCAAAGCGACCAGAGATGCGTGCAAGTTAGCCGGCCTGCCCAAATGTAGTTTGCTTCAAGAGCCAACCGCGGCTGCGATCGCATATATTGACACAGACAACGTTCCCGTAGGGAAAATGATTCTGGTCTATGATCTTGGTGGTGGCACGTTTGACGTGTCCATCGTGGTAAAGACCGAGAACGGTTTCGAGGTGAAGCATACACTGGGAGATACGGCGCTTGGCGGTCGGGATTTCGATCAACGACTTGTGTCACTTTTGCGTGAAAAATTTCAACGAAAACATAGCAAACAATTACCAAGAGACCCGCACACAAACAACGCGTTGTTATCACGTTGTGTGAAAGCCAAAATGCAATTGTCTCACTTGATGCGTTCAAAAGTGATTCTCGGCTCATTGTCTCTGAGTGAGGAAATCACTCGTGCAGAGTTTGAAAATTGTAACAGAGATCTGTTTGCTCGGACCATACAGTTAATCGATGATCTATTCCGGGAGTACAATCTGACGAAGGAACAAATCTATAAAGTAGTGGTTGTTGGAGGTTCTACGCGAATACCGAAAATTCACAACCTACTGAGTGAATACTTCGGCGAGGAACGAATCACACACCAGATACATCCAGATCGAGCTGTAGTTGAGGGAGCCGCAAAACATGCGGAAAATTTGACAAGACCACGTGAAGAACAATTATCTCGCCTGATTGTCAAAGATATCAATCCGTTGGATTTGGGTGTGGAATCCGCAGATGGACGGATGGTGCCCATTATTGGACGTGAAACGACCGTTCCTGCTGAAGGATTGCATTACGCAACCACTGTTTCCAACAATCAGACAGATATGCAAATCAAAGTGTACGAAGGAAACGATCCGATCGCGCGTAACAATTTGCTCGTCGGCAAATTCACTCTATCCAATCTGCCCGCACTTCCAGCCAGAAAAGTCCTCGTGTGTATCACGTTCCGGTACACGGAGGAATCGATTGTTGAAGTGATTGCCGATTGTGTGTCGAACGGAGTCAGCCGGGTAGTAAAAATCGATTTACCGTCTGAACGACGCCGAGTGGCTGAACGGGACCGGCAACAAGCGGATCTAAATCGACTCCAGTACGGAAATGTTCCACATCGCGAGCGGGATCCGACAATTGAAGAACTTGAGACAGAAGTGCATCGCAATATGCATGATCCAACAGCTTCAGATTTGCTAAAACATGTTTGTCAGAGCATACTTCAATGGATCCGAACATCAAACACGTTTACTGTGGCTGATATTTACGACAAACTGAATCGGATTGAGGCAGCAAAACTGCCACCCATTCTTTTGCCGGCCTAATGTGACCAATTCTGTTAAAGGAAAACGGGTCCCATCTTGTGGCTTTCTCCGTTCAGGTACCCCGATTATCTTGATGANAGTATACACAAGTTTCTGTGCAACACATGACTCGCGACGCTCGATGTGGTGTGACTACGGTATGACCTAACTTCATATTTCCTCAGCAACACGGATATTCCGGAACAACGCCCTGGAGTCCTTTTCTCCTCGTGTGTGTGTGAACATTTTGATTGAGTATCGCAGTTGCCGAAAAGCAGATCTGAACTATCTCTGTGATTTCTAACTCACTGGTGTTAATCCGACTCGTCAGTGTTTCTTTTCCACCCTTACGGAACACTCGCCTGACATCCATTCTGATCTCATTTATGGATTGCGTCTGTAAGTAATGAGGACAGTAAAATTTGTATGATTTTTTACGTTTTTTTCTCCCTCTCTGAAATTTGCTCTGGCGCACGATCGATCAGTTCCTAGCTCGGAATCGAACCCAAGAAAACACACACATACAAAACGGTAGTAGTTAAATGAAACGTATTCTGTGGGGGCAAGTCTAGTGGTCAACAAAATAGCTGTTAGGGTACATGATTTAACAAGACATGTTTCAGTGAGGAAATCCTTGATATGTTTAGGGGTTCGATGACTTTCGACGATCCTCCAGAAGGATGAGGTAGTTTGGTTTTCCTAATATCATCTATTACTGATCAACTCAAATTTAGGTTTGAGAAATCAATTTTTTCCAATTCACACCTATTTTCTTCCGACGTGAATATAATCATTGAGTTGATCTTTGTGTGTATTACTTTAGATAAATATAATGCATATGATAGGAAAAATAATACTGGAGCGGATCGTATTGTAGAGAATATATGGTAAAAAGCAGTGCTATGTGGTTTTAAAAGCCTGGTCGACAAGCGTCNTGGTTTATGTTCACAAGGTATTTCGGGTCCGCTTAAATGAAAACGAACACGTAATCGTCAGATCATGTGCACGTTGTATTGTTACTTTGTAAACATCGTTGGTTGATGAAAAGCCTCGATTTTGAACAGATACACACCATTCCAGGCTTTGTCTGATCCTCCGATCGGAGACCAGTCCGAGGAATGTGAATTTTGGCGGTGTGCTCAATAAAATCGAATCGATACGGCACTTGCAAATCACCGTTCCATGTCTCAAGCGAACAGAAATTCGCGTAGGCGTAGGTTTCAGAGATGTCTGATTGAAATCAGGATTGATCACCCTCGGACTGCAGTCGTTCTCTCTCCAAGTAACCTTGGGGTTCGAAATTAGAAATGGTGCAGAGCGAAGACTTTTATGGGTTCGGGATAGGATGGTACACTAACAAAACTTTTGTTTCCCATTTTGACATTCTGTATAGAGTTGCTCACGAAACTGGTCATAATTTTTATTGTAATCTGATTGCTGTCATGATAGTGAAATTGCAGAGAAGTAGTAGCAGTAATACACTACTATACTGTTATTGTTAATTTTACTACTAATAGTAAAATAGTAGCAGTAGTAGTAACGATAGCAGTAATTTTCTTTGTCTTGTTTATTTTGGTTTGTCCTGACCTTTTCGCGCGATATAAAAATAATCGAACTTGTGTCACATGACATTAAATTTATTGATATATTTCAGCTTCCAATCACATTCCGACATGTTGATAGCTATGGATGAATAGCATTTATTTTGAACTTTATCTCAAGCTGCAACGTTTTCAATTCTCTTGCATCATTATTTGAAACGACATTTAATTCGAGTACCATGCAGCCCAAAATGAGGAGTCTAAAAGATCATTCGTACCAAGAAATTATTACTGTTTCATGCCGATGCTCAGTTAGGTCAATACAAGTATTCTAAATAGCACAATCTATCTATAAAGTGCATTGTAAATAAACCGAAAAATGATAATGTTTTATCCTAAACAAATGATGTGATCGTGAATTGCTCAGGTAAAATATATGGTCATGGAGGGAATAAATAGACAGTCCACAAAACTTGAAAATTGACTTTCAGCTGTCGGCCTTCAAGATGTGCGGCTAGTTTGATAAATCTTTTGTAATTATATCGTACCCAAACCGGACGAAAAACTCCAGAATTGACTTGTGCAGACGCTTCGATATAAACACAAGCACAGTTCAGCATTTTAGCAAGGGAATTTCTACAGCAAAATATCGATGCGGAGAAAGAAAATCGATCAGTTCGAGGCAAGGCGATGATTTCATTTTGTCGCAGATAAGAAAAGTTGCAGCCAATCGCAATCCAGGGTAGTCCAGACGGATTGGCCACAAGTTTTGTATGCCATCGCTGAGAAACGAGGACCGAATTTGAATCTCATCGAGAGTCAGTCGATGTGTGAATCCGTTAGTAAACGTCAAACAACGATTGGTACGTGATGGTTTTGAGAGAAAATCCAAATCATATGACTCGTTCTTTTGACAATCGATTTATCTCACAGACACATGTGTGATAGTTATTTGGCATGACACCCGGTTAAGAAAGTTGATCTGATGATCTACTATTTCAAAGAAATCCCCTTCTTCGGTCACGGAATTCCATTGCAAGCAACTATGCCTACATTTCAGTCCAAAAATGTCTTTACCGTCACAGTGAATCAAAAAGGAAAAATTCAGATGCAAGAACGATAAAACTTCGACAAAATATCATCTATTCTAGTTTTAAAACAAGTTCGTTCGAATACAGAAGTTCGTTCCGGTAGAAGAACTGAGTGAAAATTGTATACGCAGCGCGTGACCAGTGGTCTCTTGCATATGGGTATTGCTAAATCGGTCGCATAGATGAAAGAGATTTTCGATGACTGCCACTATTGAAAGGCATTAGTAAATCACCATACTTGTTTCATCATAAGGCTCACTATCTCAACTCACACCAGGTTTATTATATGCATTTTTCGACCTCAAAATATACTGTTTGCTCGCATTTCCACAGATTTTGGATCAGTAAGTTCCAAGGTAGAATTCATTTAGTTACCGCCCAACAGCCCAGCTCCGAATGCAATCAGAACCTTTTACCCCGATTCGGAAACAGTGTTAAGTGAGCTACTCCGAGATTAGTGGTCAGAGAGTAGAGTACGGCGTGCTCTGGAGGAACGTGATAAACGTGGTTTGGTCGTCAACTTAGTGGAGTCCATTAGAATTGACTGGTCTAAATGCTCGAGAATAAAGTACGGAGTGGTATTTACAAAATGAAAATGCAATATATTGGCCTAATTTTCAGATAAGTTGTTATGATTTTTCCACCGAGGATTAATCATCTTATAATTGATGCAATAACAATCGTGGTCGAAATCGAGAAATCATGTTCCCATGAAGAATTCGACTGATAAAATCAACTATATGAGTAGATGCCATTATAGGTACGTTTTTTCTGCTATGGGGTTATACTATCTCGTTTCCGTGAATGAGGTTCGCCAAGCTAGGCTTTGAGCAGAAGAGATCTGACGAAGTTGATGGTGTCGCACGAGGTTGATCAATGCATGTATCGATTAGTATCCTTGTGAGTTTATTGTCCGATGGTTTTGCTTATGATCAAATGTTGACTGTATGCCGAGATGCACTTGTCGCAAAGCCTTACTGAACTAGCCCGATCTCCCTGTTGTTATTCCATCTTCCATTTAGTGTTAAAACCGGTCTCTGTTTTTCGGCATTGATAATTATTTTCCCAGATCTTATTAAGTATGGGGGTGTCGCCCTTACCCAGAACCAATTCTGGTCTGCTCATGTTATTAGCGACTTCATAAAATTTTGAGGACCGGCACTCTATGCGTACAATTACAGGAAACTGGTCACACCACACAATAGCATTCGTAAATTCGAGATTGCCTGCATCCTTCCACACCGATTATAAAGCTCCCCGATATCTGTCCTTGGTTTAAAAGAAAAACATTTCGCCTTGGTGTCCATATCATTTAGACTTTTGCTCCGTTACAGTGGATTTAATAGATATGTTTGGTTGAGCATTTTTGTTTAAAGGTGTTTGGTTGCTTTTAATAAGTTTATCGATGTTGGTGACGGCGGTGACCTCGTGGTGAAGGTCACCAAATTATGACTCCAAAAGACTTGCATTCGAATCCCGCCACCAACACCTGACTTCCCTTATTCTCTGTGTGTTGTGTGGCAGTCCCGTTTGAAAGTTGAATAATTGTATATTCAATATAATAAAGTAAACACCAGAAAAAGAAAATTCAAAGACACTGTCTGCACCATGATATCGCGAGGTCCACATCAAATCCCGGAAGGCGCTCCAACTATCAATTCCTTCTTGCGCGTACTTCCCCATGCAGGAAAACGCCGGGTTTGGATTTTGGTTATTGGTACGATGATTGCCACTCAACCCGGGGGGAGCACTCCTGCATTGGAATATTCTTTTTCTTACTGCAGTTTTGAATTCATTTTCTACTTTTTAATCTTAATCTTCGTATATTCATCGTAAATGTCCGGTAATTGCTAAAAATTCACCAATTGGGTAAATAAAGGGCCTCGTGACGGGACGTTTTAGAATCCGGCGGCCTTGAGGTTTTCAGCGATTTGCACGCTAGCATTATTGCATGGACCGAACTCCAACTTCACTTTCTCACTGGTTCTCAGTCCGTGTATCGCGGTCCTCCACAGACGTGGTAGTATTTGGATTAGTATTAGAAATATTGGTGGTATCAGTTTTCTTTATTATGCACTCTTACGTGAAGAACAGCAGACTGAGTGGGGCTCATAGTCACGAAGACCTTCTGTTCAGCGATGGAAACTTGCAAACTCAACCCCGGGACTTGAAGTGATGAATCAAAT